CATGTTGATAGAAGAGATGTTCCTCTCTGTCTTTTTCTGCTGCTGTGATTTTAGCAAACCAGCCAGAGATTAAATCTTTAAGGTCAGGATGAAGGATAAACTTTGAACAGAAACAAGGTTTCACAACCTGCATTTTAAGAAACAGGAAAGTTTGGGTTACCTGCCATTAAAATCTTTCTTTTCGTCAACAGGAGGGCCACACAGGTACCCTTTGATTTATTTATCAGTGACCATACAAAGTTCTCATGATCCTGGCCACAGGCGGTCCTTGAATTATGCCCATTCACCATAGCCTAGTTAGAATAAAAGAGCTGGAAGGGACCTTGGAGGTCTTCTAGTCCAGCCCCTTGCTCAAGCATGAGACCTTATACCATTTCAGACAAGTGACTGTCCAGTCTCTTCTTAAAAAACTCCAGGGATGGAGCTCCTACAACTTCAGAAGGCCAGCCGTTTCACTGATTGATTGTCCTCACTGTTAGAAAGTTTCTCCTTAACTCCAGGTTGCTTCTCTCCTTGATTAGTTTCCATCCATCGCTTCTTGTCCTGCCTTCAGGTGCTTTGGAGAATAGCTTGACTCCCTCTTCTTTGAGGCAGCCCCTGAGATATTGGAAGACTGCTATCATGTCACCCCTAGTCCTTCTTTTCACTAGACTAGCCAAACCCAATTCCTGCAACCGTTCTCCGTATGGTTTAGCCTCAAGGTTGCTCTGCTTTGCACTCTCACTAGAGTCTCAACTTCTTTTTTAATATGGTGGGGACCAAAACTGGATGCAAGATTCCAAAACTGTGGGTTGGAAAGAGCACATGATAAAGTGTGGTTAGCCTCCCTGTGAACTGATCTGATGGACCCAATAACAACTCTGATTTTAGAGCAAAATTTAAAAAGAGGTGAAAAATATGAAATCACAGGGCCCGAGTGGGGTGGCTTGACACGTTTTTCATCATTTTCTAACTCCATGAGGTTCTCATCCCTTCCCCTAAATGGCCCAGCTACAAAATCCAACTCTATTGAGTTGCACAGCCTGGTTACGCAACACCAGTTGTATGGCAATTTTACAAATTTTTCTCTGCTCCATGTTTAGCCTACATTGCATTCATGTAGGCTAACGTGAGGTTTTCAGGTGGGTTTTTTTTTTCCTCCACAGAAATGGTTAATGGAAATGTTGTGGAGCAAGGAAAAACAGGGTCCTAATGTTTAGCTCACCCACTCGCTAACTAAATATTTACACAGAATTACATAGAATAACAGAGTTGGAAGGGAACTTGGAGGTCTTCTAGTCAAACCCCTGGCTCAAGCATGAGACTTTATACCATTCTGCAGAAACATCTGTCTGATATCTTCTTTAAAACTCCAGCAATGGAGGACCCACAACTTCTGGCAGCCAACTATTCCACTGATTAGTTGTTCTAACTTTCAGGAAATTCTCCTTAATTCTAGATTGGATCTCTCTTTAATAATCTTCAGTCCCTTACTTTTTGTCCTGCCCTCAGGTGCCTGTTTGCTGCTAGCTAAAGCCTTTGAGGGCACAATGGCAATCTAGTAAAATGATAGCCAAATAAAAATACCTGAAAAACAGGAATCCCTGGCCCTAGTCATACCTCTGATGTGGCTTCACAGGTATCTCCTTATTCATCATTTTCTTATTAAATGCAGTTTGCATTCCTTTCCCTTCCCTTCATCCAACACCCCACCCCCCCAACTACAGATGATAATTAAAAAAAACCCTATGATTTACAGAACTTGGTTACCCGACTCCAGTTGCAAGCTAAGTTTGCAAGGTTTTTTTCTGCTCCACGTTCAGTGTAAATTGCCTTCTTGAGATATTTCATAGACACTGTGGCATCAGCATTTAAAGTTTCCCATTGCTGTTGTTGTTTTTTAAGTGTTACTTAAATTTGAACACTAACTAGCTGGCAGAAGACAAGCTGCTCTGCTTGGTGGGAAGCAAGAAGTTTTTGCAGGTAATCTCTCCTTAGCCTGATCCTTCTTCATAGGATGGAGAGAGTGGGAAAAAATTTTTTTAAGAGAATAAGCTGTTTGTGTAGCATATCTACAGCTCCTGGCCCTGGGTTGTGGCTTGATCACATTGGTTAAAATAGCAGTAGCTGTGAGAAGGATCTTGGAATCTTAGTGGACAACCAGTTAAATATGAGCCAGCCGTGTGCAGTGGCAGCCAAAAAAGCCAATGCAATCCTAAGTTGCATGAACAGAGGGATACAATCAAGATCAAGGGAGGTACTAATACTACTCTATAAAACCTGAGTAAGACCACATCTAGAATATTGCATCCAGTTTTGGTCACCACACAATAAGAAAGATGTTGAGACTCTAGAAAGAGTGCAGAGAAGAGCAACCAAGATGATTAGGGGAATGGAGGCTAAAACATACAACGAACGGTTACAGAAACCGGGCATGGCTAAGTCTAGTGAAGAGAAGGACCAGGTGAGACATGACAGCAGTCTTCCAGTATCTGAGGAGCTGCCACAGAGAGGAGGAGGGGGTCAAGCTATTCTCCAAAGCATCCAAAGGCCAGACAAGGAATAATGGATGGAAACTGAACAAGGAGAGATTCAACCTGGAAATGAGGAGGAATTTTCTGACAGTGAGAACAATCAACCAATGGAACAGAAGTTGCCTTCAGAAGTTGTGGGAGCTTCACCACTGGAGGCTTTAAAGAAGAGACTGGACTGCCATCTGTCAGAAATGGTGAAGGGTCTCCTGCTTGGGCGGGGGCGGGGGGGTGGACTAGATGACCTACAAGGTCCCTTCCCATTCTGTTAATCTGTTCATCTCTTAAAAGCATTGCTTTGTGTCGTACAAGGCAACAAGCCAGGCACACGAGCCTTCTGGAGGACAGAGGAGAGGTCAATGGGTAAACAAAAGCCGAAAGAATGAAATTAACTAGTCTTGTCTTTTTCCATCCAGAAAGCATGATTGAGGTCCTCACTTAGCATTCACTTCGCTTAGCACTTAGTTGCTGGTCCCAATTAGGCGTGTTAAACAAGTGTTTGTAGAGATTCTCAGTCCTCCGGGTCCTGGTTGTGCCAAAGGTGCTTTTTCAGGAGGCAACTGGACTTTCTGGTTTTAATTGTGAAGTCGTTTCACTTCATTGAAGAAGTGAAGTGAAGAAGCTTCTTGGATGAGAAGTGAAACGTCTTCAAAGAAAATCCAGAAAATCCAGAAAATCCATTTGCCTCTTAAAAAAGCGTCTTCATAGAAAATAATAAAAATAAGAAGAAGCAAAACGTCTTCAAAGAAAAACCAGAAAGTCCAGTTGCCTCATTAAAAAAAAAGCACCTTTGTGTTGTTAAGCAAGAACTATATGTAGTTTTTCTTCCATTTTCCCCAGCATTTGAGCCTCTTCCCAGAGAATGGCAAAGTCTAATAAGAAATGTGTGTCCTCCAAGATAAGGAAGCCTGGAACTGCATCCCAAGATATTTTTACCTGGTCGGTTGGGGTTCCATTAATTTGCTATTTATTTAACCTACTGTTGTGTTGCACAAACACTGGCATTTTAATTATTTTATATCATTTGCTATAAGTTGTTGTTTTTTTCCCGGCAAAAGAAAGCCAATGCCCTTCTTATTCTCACCTGGCAGACAAATCAAATGCCTATGTAATGTGCATATATACTCAGGCTGGAAATGCAATATCCGCTAACATTGAAGAGGGATTGATGGAGAAAGCCTGAGTCTTTGGAGTCAGGGACAAAATATATTGAACTTTTAGGACCTGCTGCCCCCTGCTGGCTTACTGAGGAGCTGCAAACTCAATGGGAAAAATAGGGCAATATCTTTGGAAACGATATTGTTTGGGGTTTCCCCGGCTGTAATGTGTGGCTGTGAAAGTTGGACCATAAGGAAGACTGAGCGCCAAAGAATGGAGGCTTTTGAACGGTGGTGCTGGAGAAGATTCCTGTGGGGCCCTTGGACTGCAAGGCGATCCAACCGGTCAGTCCTTAGAGAAGATCAACCCTGACTGCTCTTTAAAGTGTGGTTTCACACTCTGCGCTAGAAATTGTGGTGTGGTGCAAAGAAATGCAACCAGAAGATCAATAGGCCTGGATCAGATCCCTCTGGTTTCTAAAAATCGCTAGAATAGTGTCCTCTTTAGGCACCATAAGCTCTAACAAGTCAGATCAAGAACGAACTGATGTATACGTACAATAACTTTGGTGAATTTTAATCTTAATTTTTTCTTGGGTGGCTTATATAGGTGGATGAGTCCAGCTCATTCAATTGTTTTATGATTTGGCCTAGTATAAGAATCTAGAGGATGGGTTAATTCAGTATTCAAGATGAATATGCAGGATTTGTGAACAGATAGCAATGTACCGTATTTATTAGATATTCAACTTCCAGCTATAAAAGGCTTGGTGATGCAGTGGTTAGAGCGCAGTACTGCAGGCTACTTCTGCTGACTGCCGGCTGACTGCAATTTAACAGTTTGAATCTCACCAGGCTCAAGGTTGACTCGGCCTTCCATCCTTCCAAGGTGGGTAAAATGAGGACCCAAATTGTTGGTGGCAATATGTTGACTCTGTAAACCGCTTAGAGAGGACTGTAAAGCACTGTGAAGCGGTATATAAGTTTAAATGCTATTGCTATTGCCACTGTAGTCAATTTTAATTAAATGACAGTGACAATTTCACTCAAATGTAGTCATTGTCCTAGGTTGCTTTGGGAGACCAGCAAATCTACCATTCAGAGTTAATGACGTGGCACATTGTGTGAACCCAACCAATTGCAGCTTCTTTTTCCATCCATGATTAAACAAGCCATGATTCAGCACAAGAAAGAAACCCAGCCCATATTGGCAACATTTAAGAGTTCTGAAGAAGAAGATTCTTACAACCCAACAACATTTGTTTTCCACCATTGGTCTTTTTATTCTTGGCCTTCATCCCTGCAATGGAGCCTCTTGATAGCTCATCAGCAATGCAGGATCCGACTGGAAATTTCTTCTCCATGCTGCAATGCTTCCTGGCCCAAGAAGGTCCTACTGACAGTAAAAAGTCAAGACGTTTTCCTGGTTGCCTCTGATCAGGATCACAGGAGACCTGAGATCTTGCGAGAGGGTCTCCAGCCAAGCCATGTACAGGCTACTGGGACATCCCTTTCGGCCAACTGGCATAGTTCTGAAAAAAATGACAAGGAACAGGAGAAAGAAAACAAGTTTGTGTTTGTCTATCCTGAACCTAATGGAAATCACAATTTTTGTTGCTGATTTGCTAAGGGCATTTTGCTCCCTTTGTACACCTTTTTGTGCTATAGCTGTGAAGGGAATCACTGCAGTTCTTAGGTTAGTAACGCCGTTGTTAAATGAATCTGGCTTTCGCATTGGCTTTGCTTGTAGTAAGGTCACCAAAAGGGGATCACAGGACTCTGCAACAGTCATAAAAATGAGTCGGTGGCCAAGCATCTGAATCGTGATCACGTGACTATGGGGATGCTGCAACAATCGTAAGGGTGAAAAACGGTCATAAGTCACGTTCTTCAGTGATGTTGTATCTTCCAATGGTCACTAAATGAATTGTTGTACAAGGACTACCAAGGACTACTCTTGGACCTGATCTGCATATTGCATAAAAAAGTACAGGTAAAGGTTCCCCTTACACCTATGCGCTAGTCATTTCCAGCTCTAGGGGGCGGTGCTCATCTCTGTTACAAAGCCAGCGCTGTCCGAAGACGTCTCCGTGGTCATGTGGCCAGCATGATTGAACACTGAAGGCACATGGAACGCTGTTCTCTTCCCACCAAAGGGGTCCCTATTTTTCTATTTGCACTTTTTACATGCTTTCGAACTTCTGGGTTGGCAGAAGAAGGAACAAGTAATGGGAGCTCACTCCTTTATGCGGTGCTAGGGATTCAAACCACCAAACTGCCGACCTTTCTGACTGACAAGCTCAGCATCTTAGCCACTAAGCCACCAAGTCCTTCCATATTGCATAGATTTAAAAAAAAAGCAACCCAATGAAGGATTTTGTATATGTGGGCATTAAAGGTCATTGTGTTTGCTTTCTCTGGCCACTTCTCTAATCTCTTACAATTCTTTGGAATGCTTATTCCATTTTCTTTGGAAATAAGTATTCCAAGTAGTGTGGTTGTGACATCTGCAAATCTTAAAAACAGGACATGTAAGATGGGGTGAGAGAGAGGCCAGAGATTAAAGAAGGCAAACCTAAGCCAACACATCTTGAAAAAGATTCTTAGTCATCCAGGTAGACTTGTCTGGAAGTTGAGTCATCGCAACTCAACTATTTTTTTTTTGTGGGTTTGAGTTGTTTCACTGCCCATCCCAGCAGTTTCTTCAGTCTGAACAATGTTGGGTAGAGGAATAAATTGCATTGGTATTTGCAAACTCCTAAAATTCTTCGGGGTATTTCTGCACCATAGAACATAGAATAATAGAGTTGGAAGGAACCTTGGAGGTCTTCCAGTCCAAGACAGAAGACCCTAGACCATTTCAGATAAATGATTGTCCATCTCTTTCTGAAAGCCTCCAGTGATGGAGCACCCACAACTTCTGGAGGCAACCTGTTCCACTGATTAATTGCTCTCACTGTCAGGAAATTTCTCCTTAGTTCTTGGTTGCTTCTCTCCTTGGTTAGTTTCCATCCATTGTTTCTTGTCTTGCCTTCTGGTGCTCTGAAAAATAGCTTGACCCCCTTGTCTTTGAAGGAGCCCCTCAAATATTGGAAGACTGCTATCATGTCTCCCTTAGTCCTTCTTTTCATTAGATTAGATATCCTCAATTCATGTAACCATTCTCCGTATACTTTAACCTCCAGCTCCGAAGTCATCTTTGTTGCCTTTCTATTTCCAAAGTCTCAAGGTTTCTTCTCTAAAGTGCATGACAATATGTCAGTGAAGATTCTCAGTCATTCAGGTAGAATTGTCCGGAAATTGAGTGATGGTGATTGGAATTATTAATTTGTTCAAACTGAAGAAGCTGTTTGCATGGGCAGCAAAAATATCTCAAATTCACAAAAAATAAGTCTAGTTGCCATGACTCAACTTCCAGACTGAGCCAACACACTTGTCCAACAGCTTTTCCTACACAGATTCCATCCCTAGCAACTCCTAGCGAGTAGGGTTTACATTTTGCTCATTGGTGACTTCTCTTACTTACATGAAAATAAGAGCAGCATCCCGAGAATAATCCAGCAAAATTTCATTCATTCTCACCTGTCGAAGTGACTGAAATAGAAGGCAGAAAAGGCTCAGCACAGGTAGATATAAAGTGTCAGGTACAAGCAACCAGAACAGCTCTGACAACGGGTCAAGTAAATTTCTCTATTGTTGACCACCTGCTTCCAAGAATCTCACCAGATTGTCTGCCTTCTCTTGGGAAATGGCAGGTATTAAGGGTTTCACCTCAAACATTTTCTCTTTTGAATGGACTCTACGCTGGAACATCTTTTACGCCATCTATTGGGACCTTCCCTCCTTCCATTGGTGGTTCTACCACATAAAGAAATATAAAGAAACTCAAGGGTTGGTTGTTTTGTTTTGTTTTGTTGGAGACCCAAACAAGAATCCACTCCCTACTATCAAATGTTCTGTGAATGAGTTTGGAGGTTCTCCATAAAATCTAAGAAGAACCTGGCAAGATCAAGCCAAAAATTCCAATTTAGCACTCTATGTCACAGAGCAGCCAATCCGGAGGCATCCAGAAAAACCACAAGATAGAAGGTTCAAAGTTCTCTTCCATCTTGAACTCCAACGGTGCAAGCAAGGAGTCCAGCCAGATTTCACCAGGATCACAAGGACAAAGGGATGGGCAGAGGTCCAGAAGCTCACAACGGCCCCACCAATCTGGGTCTGTAATGCATGTATTAAGTCACAGGGTTTGCATTCTGATCTCATAATCAGAATCCCTTTTCCAATCTTTTTTTCCCCCTAGCTCTTTTCCCAAGCCCTCTGCTTCCACGGACAACCAGGGATACGTGGATGGCTCCGATCCATTTCAAAAATCAAGCCGAATCCATAGTTTCAGCTGGACGTGTCAAATCCAGTCGTTCTGATTCTTCTGTCTGATTCTAACAGACTTGAGAAAAGTGGGGTTAACTTTAATCATTGGATCTGGAACTTTCAATTCTGTTTGGAAAGCTGATCCGGTTCAGATCTGAGGTAGAATGGCTGTTGAATTTCCACATCAACACTAGAATAATATTCTTATTCCCTAAGAAGGTGGGCTTGAAAACACCTTCCAACAAAATCATCATCTTCCTTTAATGACTTCCTTTAATAGTCCCTTGCAAGGCGGAATCTGGGCAATTGAACGGAGCTAGCAGAGTATTTATTGGCCGGATGCCCTTCCTGTCACCTATGCGGAGTTTTGTTCAGCTGATATATTCTCACTGTGCCCAGAGAAAGAGAAATATCTGCCTCTACCTAGGATTGAACTCACAGCCTCCTGATTGTGAGGCGAGACCTCCACCTCTAGGCCATCACACCACTCCCCTTCCAACATAATGTAAAAGGACTTCTAAACTTCCCTGACAGGTTAACCAGGTTGACCAAAGGTGACAGATTGAAAGACCTGGAGTTAGAAAGAGATGAGACGCTGATGGCCTCGGTCTCCCAACTTGCTCCCTTTTCTTGTCCCAATGTCTGAAATCCACCCCAGGGAAGGTCATCCAAACCTTAGCTTTGTTTTTTGCAACCTCTTCATCGGAAATTTTCCATGGGCAACCATGACGCATCTCATTCACCACCGCATTGTCTTTGAAGCCATCGTTCAGTCTGAACGGAGCAATTAAGTCATCAAATCTCTTCACACTAGGAACAAAACTAGCGTGAGTTTTCATCGGGAACCAAATTCATCCGTGCCCTGGTCTTAGCCAAAAGAGGACACCTGCCTAGAGAAAGGAATCCGGCCAATTTTAAGAACTAACTCTTGACTATTGTCAGGCATGCAAGACCAGGTCCACACATGAAGTTTCAATTAAACTGATTCATTGCTAAAAACCTATGCACAGGAATCTACTCAACTAACTGTTAGCACCTACCTGGAATTAGATAAAGGTCAACTGCACTCAAAGGGAATAGAGTGGAGTGGAGTGGAGTGGAGTGGAACAGAACAGAATAGGAGCTGGAAGGGCCCTTGGAGGTCTTCTAGTCCAGCCCTCTGCTCAAGCAGGAGAGCCTATATTATTTCAGGTAAGTGACTGTCTAGTCTCTTCTTAAAAACATCCAGTGATGGGAGCGCCCATGATTTCTGGAGGGAAGCTGTTCCATTGGTTAACTGTCTTCACTTTTAGGACGTTTCTCCCTAATTCCAGGTTGTTTCTCTCTTTGGATTAGTTTCAACCACCTCTTGTGGCTACATAGGGATTCTACGCTGATTCCCCCTTTTCACTCCACCACTCCCAGGTTCTTCTCCTACACCCATACAGGAACACCAAAAACTACCATGGCTGTGGTTAATTTTCTGAATCTCATCTCATCTGGATCTTTGCAACCAGGTCTAATAGCCCTAAGGTGGGCCCTCTGGATAGCAAATGCTGCGGAGCGTGGCCTTTGTAGGAATGGCCCCCAGGTGTTGGCCTCACTTTGATTGGCCAGCTGAAAAACCATGGAAGAGATGGGAAGAACAAGAATTCTGGCTGGTCTTTGGACTAATCATGAGACCTGGCTTGGCTTAGAGTGATTAGCTGCTCCTGTATTGACAATCTGTTTTCATATCTTTCAATCTGTTTTAAATCAAATTTATTTCCTACAATAGTCCAGATAGAGATCATCCTCTACTTATAGCATTCAATTAGCGATCATTCAAAATTTGCAACTGCGCTGAAAAAATGACTTGCAGCTGGTCCTTACACTTACAGCCATCACAGCATCTTCATGGTCACATAATCAGAATCCAGGCGTTTGGCAACTGGCCATGTATTGATGATGGTTGCAGCCTCCCAAGATCATGTGATCATCATGACCTTCCCAGCCAGCTTCTGACAAGCAAAGTGTTGGAAGCTGGGTTCATTGAATGCCCACTTACTAACTGTTGTAATTTACTGTATATAGATAGATACATTTTTAACTGGAATAGGCTTTATGGTGGGATGCTGTAGTATTGGCCCATACATTAATGCATAACAACAACAACAACAATAATAATGATGATGATGATGATAATAATAATGATGATAATAATAATAATAATGCTTTACTGTTCAGGTCGGGGTTTCTGGTTAATATCTGGAAGGACGTGAACCTCATGAAATCCAAGCCGAAACTTGCTTAATAAAGAGACAATCCTAAGGAAGGGGAAAAAAGTTATTTCAACCATCTTTCTAATATACATTTCTCTGTTTTGATGCTCCCCGACTCCATTTCTCCACGCAAATGGTGTATTTGGGGCACAACAGCCCTGAATTCTACAGGTGGAACTCACGCTTTCCGCTCTTCGTCCATTCGGTTGATCTGCCCACCGACAAACACTCGGATCTTGCATTTCCCCCACCTCTTTTTGCGGCCAAGGAGGTAAGGGATGAGAAGAGTCAGACCTGGTGATGGAAAACCACAGAGGAATCTCAATAACCAACACACACCCCCACCTTCCTTCTCCTGGTTGCATTTAAATCCTACTTAGAACCCAGAACCCAGAATAATAGAGATGAAAGAGACCCTGGAGGTCTTCCAGTCCAACCATTCCTTCTGTTGTGGCCTATTGGCCTCTGGTCCCTCCAGCAGCCGAATCAGAGGAGGAGGAGGAGGAGGAGTGGGAGTCAGGGTCAGCATCAAGGCAACCTGAGAGCTCCGAGGGGGAAGAGGAATAGAGCTGACAGAGAGAGAGAGAGAGAGAGGCGGAGCCTGGGCTGTCCATCATCCCTCAGATGGAGAATCAACAGCCCCCAGGTCTGGAGGTGGCTGATGAGGAAGAGGAGGAATAGCTGGGTCCAGTGCCTGACGGAACAGATGCGCAGAGGGCAGAGGAGAGGAGAGCAGTGGAAATCTATGGGCCGGTCCTTGGGACAGAAGAGCCACCACTGCTAGCGAAGAACCCACCCGAGCTCTGGGGATAAAAGGCAGGGGGCAGAGATGAATAGATGTGGGAGACAACTGTTCATTTCCCTGCTGGCCAGACTTATTAGCCTGCGTGAAGAGAGAAACTTTTTGGCACTGCTGACGTTCCTAATAAAGGGATCATTGATTTAACTTCATAGGGTTTGTTGTGTTTGGGGAACTGGGTCAGAACATCTTCCCAAAACTCAAGCTAATGTAAGATGATGAGATCTCAGGAACTCAGGTTAGCTTCAATACGGGGCTAGACTAGAGGATGGTTCTGAGGCCATTTGCTGGAACGAAACAAGGCCACTGCTGGCATTTTTTAAAAAAAGGAAATCAGAGTTCGGGCAGTTGAGCAGCATTGGCTGGGTTCACCTACTAAATTGCAACCCAGAATGCTAGAAAATCCAGGAAAAAAAGAAACATTTAGCAACCCCCAAGGCTTGTTTTCTTCTTGAGCCCTACATGAGAAGGAAAAACCAGCCTTACCTCCATCATCAAACAGCCAGTAGATATCAATCGTTTTCTTGCCATGATCCATCTGGAAAATTGTGCTCGCCTGTCGTTCTGCCATTGAGGCATCAGGATCCACTAGGAAGCGGGAAAGATGGAGAAAGAGAAGGAGAAAGGGGAGAGGAGGGGAGAAGAGGAGAGGAGAGGAGGGGAGAAGAGGAGAGGAGGGGATAAGAGGAGAGGAGGGGAGGGGAGAGGAGGGGAGGGAAGGGGAAGGGGAGAGGAGGGGAGAGGAGAAGAGAAGAGAGAAGAGAAAAGAGAAAAGAGAAAAGAGGAGAGGAGAGGAGAAGAGAAGGGAAAAGAAGAGGAGAGGAGAGATATAATCTCTTCTTATTTTGTGATCAAAGTTAGAGCAAAATTGCAAAGTTTATTTCCTTTAAAATCAACCACCTGAAAATGGGGCTTTTCTAGAGAACCAGCATTTTTACCTCCAAACTTTCCGTTCCCTTCCCTTCTTCACTCATCTACTCCTTTCCATTTCTTTCCCTTCTTTTCATTCTTAACATAAAATAACAGAGTTAGAAGGGATCTTGGAGGCCATCTGGTCCAGCCCCGCTGCTGGAGCAGGAGGACCTATATCTTTTCAAGACAAATATGCCTTTGTTCTTAAAAGTCCCACACAACTTCTCAAGGCAAGCCATTCCACTGGTTGATGATCGTTGGATGTTGGATTTCCCTTCCCTTCCCAGAAAGACAAGGCAACCATTCCTCAGAGTTTCATTTATACGTTGCCTTTGCCATTCCTAATCCTGAGGTCTTGTCATCTTTCTAACAATGTCAGTGCTATTATGGGATTGCAGAGACTGAAAGCGGAATGAGTCCCAATTCTCCTCATAAATGAGAGGTCAGACTACTGCTTACACCAAAAGACGATTAAAACCCATTCTAATTTCTGAAGCATCCTTCAAGGCTTCCCAGTGACATTTCCTTTGACCACAGCTGCTGGCCAGAGAGATGTTGATATCTGTTTGACAGATTAACAGGGTTGGAAGGGACCTTGTAGGTCATCTAGTCCAGCCCCCTGCCCAGCAGACCCTACACCATTTCTGACAGACAGCAGTCCAGTCTCTTCTTGAAGGCTTCCAGTGATGAAGCTCCCACAACTTCAGTTGTGTTTGGCAGAAGGTCTTCTAAGCCCATGGACAGCATTGTGTCTTTGTCTGTAAGACATGGTTAAGTCTGCTGCAAAGCTACCCCATTTGGCAAATATTATAATTCAGTGTATTATGTGAACCCAGGAAATGGATTTGGTTAGTAACCCAGTCAAGTATCGTTTCAGAACTGACATGTGCCTGTTACAGCAGGTACTTCACTGTTTTTCTGAGGAACTTCTGCTGGATCAAAAGCTGGATTAACTGGAGACAGAAAGAAGACAATAAACAAGACAAATTCTTAATACTCTGAACAACAAACATTTATATGGCACATCAAATCATAATGAGGATTGTTTTATCTAGGCTTAGGCTGTTGAGCGAACCGAACCATTGTAATTGTGCAAAAAATTATAGTTTAGCATGATGTGTACCCCCAGTTAATTGTGATTTGATCACTAAATTAAATTAAGTCTAGTACAGTGTAATGGAGTATCGTATGGATTCCCAGGAGGGAGGGGCTGTATTCCAGAGGGCAGGGTGGAAAGTTGGAGTGATAGAAAGAGGGTTAAAATGGCTACTCCCTGAGATTCCCAGAATATTTCGAGAATCTAGAGTCACCTTGGTAAAATGGATGACATAGAAGTTTAATAAATGAATCTATCAGTAATGGAAATAGTTGTTTTAGTCTGGCAAGATTCTGTCTGTAGGTGAAGAAAACTACTCCCAAGTAACTCCACATGTCATTCTTGGTTTTTAGGGCCCGTCGTGCAGCGTGTTAATCCAGCTACAACCACCACTGCACAGAAATGATGGGTGCATTTAGCAAACCTTTGTTTATTTAAACCCGTTGATTTAGATTAAAAAAACTTAATAGAAATCAAACTAACCACGTTAATGGCTTAGTGTTTGGAGTTTCCCCCACTGGCCAGGAAGATCAATCAGGTTGAGGATATTTCCTTTGGTGCCTAGCAGGTTTTCTACCTACCCCATACAACTTTTTACATTAAAAAAAAAAAAGTAAAAGCTTGCTGCGAATTAAAAACATTGTTTCCTGCATTATCTTTATTTTCCTAACAGCAGCATCCACAAAAAAAGTCAGGATGGTGTCTGAAGCTTTGAAAGTGACATTTTTCCCTCAACCCCCCCACTTTTTTTTTTACATGCACAACACCGTTGCCTTTGCTAAAAAGAGTGTGTAAGATATTTTGATGGTTTGGAAACCCGAGTCGTTTGAATGCAATTTATCTTACAAAGCAGCATAAAAATGAAGACATATCAATGTATAAAAGGGCCTCTTTCTAAGATACTTCTCTGCTTCTGCACCTGAACCAGTTCAGGCCCTCTTCCTTGCCCAATCCTTGGAGAAATGTGCTGGTGAAACTCACTGTGAGCCTGCATGATCCGAGAAATATTGAGTCCCTCCTTCACGCGCATCACGCATACTCCATATTTGAAGTCAAAAGCATCACTGGAACAGGGAGGAGGGGGAAAAAGCAAACCCAAATGTCAACATGAGGGAGATTTATCTAGGACAAGGGTCTTCAAACTTGGCAAGTTTAAGACTTGTGGATTTCAACTCCCAGAATTCCTGAGCTAACATGACCAGAGGAGGAATTCTGGGAGTTGTCGCCCACAAAGTCTTAAAGCTGTCGAGTTTGAAGATCCCTAGAATAGATAGATAGAGAGGTAGAACAGATAGATAAAAAGAGAGAGAGAGAGGAAAGGTAGATAGACTAGATCGAGGGTCTTCAAACTTGGCAAGTTTAAGACTTGTGGACTTCAACTCCCAGAATTCCTGAGCTAATATGACTGAAGAAGGAATTCTAGGAGTTGAAGTCCTAGAATTGTTTGTTTTTTTTAGTTTTTATTGTTTTTCCACCAGTACAAATCATATTTACATTTTCAACAGCATTTGACATTGTCATACAATGTTATCTTATATTATCTATCATCTATTCATGTATATCACAAACATCTATTATCTTTATTTATACTTGTCATTAATAATCTCTGTCTTTGTCTATTTTACATATCTACATATCATTCTCTTGAGCATTCTTCTATGTAATCTTTGCTTTTCATTCCTTATCCCTATTTTCTAACCATTTGTACCATCTATGCCAAATTGAATAATAATTAGATTCCTCTTTTTCTTTCATTTCTTTCATAAGCATATCCATTTCTGCACAGTCCATTATTTTTTGTAAAACTAAGTCTTCTGTTGGAATATTAAGCCCTTTCCACATTTGCACATAAGCTATTCTGGCTGCTGTTAGAATATGTAAAATTATGTATTTTATCTTTTTTCGGTATTGCTCTTTGATTATTCCCAATAAATAGAGTTCAGGTTTGAGTTCAATTTCGTGTCCTGTGATTCCTTGCATCCAATCTTTAATTTTGTTCCAATAGATCTTGACCTTGGGGCATAGCCACCACATATGGCAGAAGGTACCGTCGACTTTTTGGCATTTCCAGCATTTTGGGCTAGTATTTGGGTATATTTGGGCTAGTCTTGCCAGGGCTAAGTGCCATCGGTAAAACCTTTTGTATAAATTTTCTTTATACGTTGAGGCTGTTGTTAACTTATAATTTGTGCTCCATAATTTTTGCCATTCCTCTAAATTGTGAAGTCCACAATTCTTAAAGCTATCAAATTTGAAGACCCCTGACCTAGGATAATATGGAACAAGTTGGTTGGTCTATCCCTAAATCTTTTTCTCAAAGGAAGGCACTCTTAAGGCCATCCAATTCTTTTTTACCGAGTGTTTTTTCCCAAAGAACAGTTGAAATATAGCTTCATTTAGAAAGAAAGAAAGAAAGAAAGAAAGAAAGAAAGAAAGAAAGAAAGAAAGAAAGAAAGAAAGAAAGAAAGAAAGAAAGAAAGAAAGCCAAATATGCCTTTCTAATAGCATCTTCTCTCAATTTACTCATGTCGGAATGTATTGTGATTTATTTAAAGAGCTGAAAACCATAGTACAATTTTTGGACAGATGCAAAATCCGCTTAGTATTTAAGTTTCAAGGGTGTGCATTACTCCAGTAAGTTATCCAGACAGGGAGAATGCAACCAAAGATAGTTCCAAGAGATTTATAACATTTTCCTGAAGACCATCTGGGACTTCAAGACCTTTTGAGAAGACTAGATTCAGGAAGTATGGCTTAGAAGATTTTTAAGGCAACAACCAGTTATACTTACTGCAGAATCCCAATATATTCTTCTACTGTCTGAGGATGTGCTGCCTGCCAGTTATTCTTATATCCAAGCACAAGAATATTAGGTTTCATTTTCCCAAGACCTGAGGCCTTTATCAAGAAAAAAATGACTTTTAGGGTAAAAATATTGACCACATTCATTGTTACCAATCCCTCTGCTCACAATGGAAGGGAAAGGAAGGGAAGGGAAGAATGGAATGGAACGGAACAGAACAGAACAGAACAGAACAGAACAGAACAGAATAGAATAGAATAGAATAGAATAGAATAGAATAGAATAATGAATGAATGGAATGGAATGGAATAGAACAGAATAGAATCTTTATTGTCATTTTAAATGTACACTAATCAGAATACATTACAATGAAATTTCACTGCATTCAGCTCTCAAAGGAAAACCATTTTGCATATAGCCACATACACACACATACATGACACAGATACATGATACATGACACTCTAGTTCGAATGTATACATATACATGGTGGAGGGTGGGCAGAAAATCCTGCAAATTTACAAGATGGATGCTATAAGAACAAAGTAGTTCTGTTATAGATACTTCGAAACCTCCTTCCAGAGGGGAGTAAAACTTCATCTTCTATTAATAGCCTAGGAAGGAATCCCTGCAGATTTTGCACCACTAGTTATTGAGAACTTTAGAGGGCTTTTCTCATCTCCATTTCAAGGCCATTGAGCCAGCGCTGTCCAAAGACATTTCTGTGATCATGTGGCCAGTCTGTAGGGTGGGGTGGGGGGGCTATAATAACTTTAAACAAAGGAACGAATAAAAATTATTTATTTACAAGAAATAATAGTTGGAAACTAGTCAAAGAGAAACAAGCTGGGATTAAGGAGAAACTTCCTAACAGTGAGGACAATTAACCAGTGGAACAACCTGCCTCCAGAAATTGTGGCTGCTCCATCACTGGAAATTTTTAAGAAGAGACTGGACAGTCACTTGTCTGAAATAGTATAGGTTCTCTTGATTGAGCAGGGGGCTGGACTAGAACAGGGGTTGCCCACCAGTGCCCTGCGGCCCACTGGTGGGCCATGAGAACATTTTGGTGGGCCGCAGAGAAATCTCACCCCCAGAGCAGTCCCCCCAAAGCAATTAATCCAGACTGCGCAGAAACACAAGGCTGTGCTGCCCACATGGCCCGCCGGAACCCTCCTGGCCCACTCACTCCTTACCCGGCAAAGTTGCCTGCTAAGTTGCTATTTTTTCTTTTTCTGACCATCAGCTGTTCTGCTGTGCCGGGAAATTTAGATTAGCTAGGAAATAGGAAATGGTTGGATTTCTTGCTTTCTAGCTAGTCTTTAGATCTTCGGCTCTGCTTTTAAGCACAGTCGAACCTCCCTTCGTATTATTCAGCACAGACTCACGGCAAGCAAATTTTATCTGACAGACTCAGGTAGCTGATGGCAGATAGATAGATCACTGAATGATTCTGTGAGCAACTCAATCTGCTTGCCTGCTTTGCCTGATTTTGGGAAAAAGTTGCTCTTTTTTAATAAAATAATTCAATATTTATAAAAATATTTATCATATTTACATACAAGCCATGCCCAGCCAATCACATGACCACCAAGCCACACCCACAAATTAGGCCATGCCCACAGAACTGGTTAGTGGTCCCTGGGATTTAAAATTATGAGTTTGGTGGTCCCTGAGGTCCAAAAGGTTGGCGACCCCTGGACTAGATGACCTCCAAGATCCCTTCCAGCTCTATTCTATTCTATTCTACTCTACTTTACCCTACCCTACTCTTATTTCTATTCTGTTTTATTCTGTCATATTCTATTATTTCTATTCTATTCTTAGCTTAGTGGATAGTGCAAGCTATGGTAGGAAGACCCAAGAATTAGTATAGATTATAAGAGCAAAGTTTTTATTAAAAAAGCACATAAGAATTCCTCAAGCAAGTGATTGCAGTTCAGGTAGCCCTGGGTGTGATCAGCATCTCAAGACTCCAAGCTTGATTTTACCTGCATAAGGATTTGTGCTCCAGTTCTCAAGTCCTCTGCTAAGATGCCTGTGTAGAAAGCTTTGATCTTTCGTTTGGTCAGCCATTTGATGTGGCCTTTGGAAGCAAGTCCCACTTCAGCATTTGCTTGTCTGCAGGGCCCCTGTGGGAATGAAGCATACGAAGGAGTCACCGTTACAGGAAGACTAGAAGAAATGTGGTATTCTCAGTGCTCTCTGAGCTTGGTTGTTTTTGCTTGCAGACATTTCATTACCCAGCTAGCTAACATCATCAGTGCTTTACATATCTTGTTTTCTATTGAAATGTGATCTATGCAGGACCATCTGCAACTGCAGGGTTGAAAAGCCAAGGGAGTGACCACAAACACACAATTGAGCTCTATTCTTTAGGTACATGGAAGAGCCATGGTGGTGCTTTGGTTAGAGTGCAATACTGCAGATACTTCTGCTGACTGCCGGCTGCCAGCAATTTGGCAGTTTGATCCTGACTGGCTCAAGGTTGACTCAGCCTTCCATCCTTCTGGGGTGGATAAAATGAGGACCTAGATTGTTGGGGGCAATATACTGACTCTGTAAGCCACTTAGAGAGAGCTGTAAAGCATTGCAAAGCAGTATATAAGTGCTATTACTATTGCTACATCACACATAAAGTCCAACTATCAATTTCAGGGTTTCAAAACCCAGTTTAGTTGTTAGGAAATGGTCCAAATTTGTTAGGTGCTCCTACCAAGCTAAGCATTTAACATAAAGTTGAAGCTGAACATGGTTTGAATTTGGATCAGTGTTTTGCTTCAGTCCAGTAATTCTAGTCTGTAAAGTGCTAATTCAGTCAGTAAGTTGTGACGTAGGCAATATGTCATTAAACAAACTACGGGCTTCTATGAATCCCGAGCACTGAGTCCAAGAGAAAGACTCATGGGCTTTGTTCATACAACATACTTTAAAAAGTATTCCAACATGCTAAGCTTGTTTAATAGTTACCCATGATAAATTTAGCGGTGGCTTAGTGGATTATCTGCTTTTTTATTACACAAGAAAGTGGGCTAAAGTAAACAATTCTGAGATTATATTAAGCAAATTGGGATAAGGCAGTTTTTCTCCTACAAAAAGTTTTGGTTTCTACAGCAATGGCTCAACCTAGAATAGCCTGCTCATATAGCCTTTCCTGTCGAAACTAAGATTTATACGCCTCTCTTAGCTACTTGGTATTTTTTAAAAAGCACTTTGCTGGCCTAATTATGTACAGGATTCAAACATTTACCTATTGATATTGTCCTTCCCAAGAAGTTAAAGAAAAGAAAGATTGATTAATGGTGGCGCATCTCCAGAGCAGAATGTCCTACGAAGATTGCATTTTCTCATCTCCAAAATTGTCTATTTTTATCCTGGCAATTCAAACTGCAGATGAAAACCAATCTAGCAGTCATTCATTCATTCATTCATTCATTCTTGCTTAATTAGCTGGGGATTGTTCCAGAAGAACGGTTGTTGAAAGCCAAGTGCTGGCTTTGTTATCACACTTTCACAGCCATAATTTGTGTTCCTCCTGGCCTCTGCAGTTATCATGAAAGCCGAAGGGAAGTACTTGGGGCTATACATTTGATGATCCGGTATAGCTGCGTTAATCTTTTGCTACTCCAGATCTGAAGTTCTGATAGCACTTTTTCAGACTAATTTTATTAAAGGGCACACATTTTCACAGCCAGATTCCTCCTGATTTTTGATCATTGACTGTATAAATGGTGGAGGGGAAGATTTGATTGGTTAGCAACCTGCTGTTTGGATAGCAAAGGATCTTGCTTGGAGGCAAGCCACTGAAGCTGTTGAGATGGACACCCGCCAGCCCTTAAAAGCTGCTTTTTGCTACTTGAAGCCTGCTGGGTGCAGTTTCAGGTCCTTAGCAAAGGGAGCATTATGTCCCAGCTGAAATTAAGGCTGCTGTTTCTTTTCCTCACGAGCCAACATTCAAGCGTCGGAGGAAGCCAAGGGCCACAATCCGTTCCATCACTGGAGTCACCAATTTGAGACTTCAGCAGCGCTGAGGTCCCGCTAGACTTTTTCAGATGAATTGGAAACGCAGCTAAAAAAACCAGTTACTGAGATATCCCGTTTCTTCTATGATCAGATGCAATCATCTTTAAGAATGGAGATGGTTAAAGAAATTATGATGTTTATTAACTATGTTTAATGAATTTATAGCATCTAGTTGAAATGAACTATGAGGATTGTTGTAATGAGCAATATCAGTTTTTATGATGAATTCAATAGATTAGCTTTTTTTTTTTTTGGAAATTATAAATGTTTTTGATGTAATTGAAGGTGAAAGTACCATGCAGAATCTGACTTAAAAGGTATGTATGTTATGTAGTTGCTAGGAGACTATTGTTATTAACTTTTAAGGTGATAATTAAAAAATTAAATGACTACTGGGATTTAAAGGGGAACTAATTAAATGATATGTAAGGTATAGGGGTGGCACCCTCCAATTGGTAATTGTGTGGGAAACTTTTTTTTTTTTTGAAATGTTTGAATTGAAATGGAATTTTTGAACTGATGAATTAAGAATTTGTGACGAAATTCCAAACCTGGTAAATAAAAGTACAAAATACAATGAATATGAAGATATGAGACTTATTTAAAGTTAAAAGAAATGGGTTAAGAAATGAAGTGAACATTTATAAAATAAGCTTGAGGAAAATATGTGAGAAAATATGTAAAGTAACGGTAAGATACGAAACTAAATATGAAAGATGAAAATGTAATCAAGATCATGTTTGTATGGAAATGTAAAAACCTGGAATCATGCTGTTCACTAAAAAAAAGATGTTTTTAAAATGTGGATAACTGAAATAATTTTTTCTTTAAAAAGAACGAATGGAGACGGTTAAGATAAATTAGAGAGAGAGAAAGAGGAGGAGGAGGAGGAGGAGGAGGAGGAGGAGGAGAAGAAGAAGAAGAAGAAGAAGAAGAAGAAGAAGAAGAAGAAGAAG